GAATTAATATGCATCGCATATATTAGTTTAAGTATTTCAACCTTTAATTGTCGGCATACATATATAGATTAATATACATCGCATATATTAATTTACGTATCTGTCCATTATTTATAAATTATGTGTGTTTTATGCTTCCTCCCCTTTTAAAAGCTACGAAGGGCTTGTTGACACCTCTTAATTATATGTTTTAATGGTTCTATAATAAGTTTAAAGTTCGATCATCGGATAATGTAATTCTTTATGTATTATGAATGCAATTCCCTTTTGGAAATTCTAGTGTTTGGTATAATTTGGTTCGTTCATTGGGAACTCCTAAAATGTGTGTTTAGGGGTAGTTAAACACATCTATTGTTGTAGACTACTGATTTTTTAAATAACTTGAAATGAATGATTCATAGAGCTTAAATAATAAATTTCTTTTTCATCTAATTTGTTTGTGTTATTTTATGTTTTTTGAAGCGGTAAAGAGCCCGCTAAAAAAAATATTTCCGCTTCTATTTTTTATATCGTTTTTATGCCATCGATTTCTACTGCTACTTTTAGTATGACATTGCGTTATTCACTACATTGTGTTATTCTAATTGTTATATTTACAAGCCATTGATGTTGATGACAAAAGTTTGTCAAATAGACCGTGTATATATATATATCTTTATATTCAAAGAAAATATGTTTTATGGCGTCTAAATTTAACTTCATGTCTTAGAAATATAGAAACTTTTCAAAATTCTTAGAAAGGAATAAACATTTCGCATCCCGGGTTCGTATTAAACTTTCCATAACCGGTAACCACTCATTTGTCTCAACAGAACTGTCCAAACATTTTTCTTCTTCGATCTCCAAATGCAATATATTTATTAATAATGCTTGGATCCAAATGGTTTAAAACATTTTATAAAGTCATTTGTTCATTATATTAACATATACTCAACTTTGGATATACGTAATACTAAAGTAAGCCACTAGCGGTTGTGATTTTCTTTGGATTTGGAAAAAAAATGAAAATTTGATTGGCTGCGTAGTGTGAGGAGGACTAAAGATCATTGCCATCAATATTGATATCATTAAAAAAAAACTCTATGTAACATTCAATCTCAAAGCTCAAATAACCATAAGAAAAACATAAAACTAAGAATTTTCATACGTATATTTCTCGACATTTTATTTTGTTGTGTGTCCTTGCATTACACTATATATGAAAATTCGAGAAGCTATCATTAGATATGGTTAAGTTCTATGAAACCACTTAGTTGATGTGTACAATTTGGCTCCATGGCGAAGGAGACACCACACCTTAGTCTTCAAGACCAAGTCTTCATCACTCTATTTCTCACCTACTTCCATGTAATTCACTACTAATTTTGATTTTATATATTATATATGTATTGGGAAAGTTCCTAGGTAAAGGTTTTCTTAACTCTTTTTAAAAAAATTTAAATTATATTTATCCTTTTCTTGTTAAATATATAATTAACTTTTAGGTGGATTATCATATACATTAGTTACATTTTGCTGCTTTTGACTAAATTATAGCCATCTTTGACATTCTATTAATTTATTGTTGTTACGTCCATTAATCAAACCATCGTTCTAAGATATTGTCCTTCACTATATATGTTTTACAAGCATACACAAGCTGACCAGAACAATCAAGGTGGCCTGAATATATTACAAGACTATATAAGATGCTTAATTATACTATGATAAACTGCCTTTTAGGCATATAATTTTGTTTTAGTAACGATTAAAAAGCTGTTACTAAACATGTTTAATCGGACGAATGTAATTAAATTCGAGATTAATCTGAATCGATAGACAAAGCTCAACAGCAAGCAACATGGCACGTGGGAAGCTAAACTTGGTTTCAAAGTTATTCCGAAACTTTTTTGCAATTTACAATTTTGTTTTTTTTGTTTCTGCTAACAAATTTTGTTTGTTGAAACTTAAATGTGTATTAATAATTCCCACCCAGTGATAAAAGGCAAAAGGTTATTCTCATTTTAATTTTTACTGTTAGTGTTATCTCTTTTTCTTAAAATAAAATGATATTTTCATAATATAATACTAGCTACTATTTTTGAAGAATCCTAAGATCATTCCAACAAGTAATGAATAATATACAGTACTTTTTAATTGTGGGTACAAGATTTTGACTTCCACATATCATCTTGTATTCGATAGATAAACTGTTTATGGTGGACTAAAAAAATAAAAGTATACGTTTAAGTTTACAACAAACAAACGTTTTGAAACGTTTTTACGAATTTTATGAACATATACAAAATTTTTGAAACGCTTTATTGGTTATACCAAATTTTCTGAAAGATTGATTGCATATATGTTTGCGTTTACGTTTATGTTCAATATATATATTTTTCTTTGTTTTAAATAAACAACCGTTTGTGTTTGACCTTAATATTTGCATTTTACAAAAAGTATTATGTCAGAAACTAAAATGTTTAATATTTGGAAAAACAGTTTTTAAAAAATCTTATGTAACCATAAACGCAGAAATCGCGCTCGTAACTATCAACAAAAACGTCTTTACGCGTTCGAAGCGTTTATTCTATTTGGGCCACAGTTTGGTATTGTTAGGCCCAATAATAAGTTACTACTATAATGGGCTCATGGCCTCATTAGAACAACGGCGACGCCATTAGAGGAGTAATAACGGTGAACAGAGGAGAGCTGACGACGGCGCCGTCGCTGGGTCGTCGGAGACGCGATGGAGCTTGGAATGCTTGTTTACAGATTATACAGAGCTTTAACCTACGGTGTCTCACCGGTGATTCACCTCCATCTACAGTGGCGTAGACTCCGTGGCCTTGAGCATTTCCGGCGATGGCCTGAACGATTCGGCCGTCCCTCCGTCGTACGACCGCCGGGATCGCTTGTCTGGTTTCACGCCGTCTCTTTAGGTTCAGTGAAACAAAACTTGCTTAATTCTCATTGTGATCATTGTGGGTTAGTCTCCGAATCGAAAAATTAGGTTTTTTTTTTTTGGGGGTGTTTTAGGTGAAGGAATGGCTACGATTCCTGTGATTAGACGCTGCAATGAAATGAAGCCAGATATGACTATTCTAATGACGACGACGACAGTTTCTGCGTTGTATGACACTTTGAAGAATCTAGAACTTGAAGATTCCAAGTTTTTCTCTTTGTAATTTGGTTTTTGTTTCGATGTTTTTGTTGCAGTGAAGTGATAAAGAAACAACTTCCAGTTGGTGTTTTACATCAAGTATGTTTGATTGCATTGTTCTTTTGTTTCTACTTCTTCAGTGCTGGATATATCTGAACTCTTATTTGTGTGTTAAAAGTTTCGAAATTTGACCAGTTTGCACCGCTCGATACACCGGTGGCTATCGACAGATTCCTTTGCCATTGGAAACCAAATGCGATTATCATAATGGAGAACGAACTCTGGCCTAATCTCATCATGTGTGCTGCAGGACTTCTAGTAAGTCTTGAATCCTTGTCTTTGGTTTATATGGATGTATCACTTGTGAAAGGATAATGAAAGTTGAATTGGTTTAGTTTTGTATCTGCATAATATTCAGGTCATGACGTAGGCTTCCTTTCTATTCTATGCTCTTGTGCTTCTGCGGAAACTTGACTTCCGTTTCTCCTAAGACACATACTGCTTGCATATGGATGAGATCCTCTACTTGACTCGTTGCATTGGTTAATATTGGGTTTCTGTTAATCCATTTTTTCAGATTCCATTGGCATTGTTGAACGCTCGGATGTCTACAAAATCCTTTAAACGGTGGTCTAGTCCTCTATTTCTTCCGCTGGTATCGTTGTTGCTATCCAAATTCTCATTGATTGCCCCACTGGTATGTATGCTAACTTCAGTAAATCATTTCTAACTCATCTGATTTTTTTAATTGTTTGCCTCAAATGTGACAGAGCACCCTGCAGGGTATACATTTCCAGCTGCTGCAAGCACCGCCTTTTGTCATAAATTTTTCGGGAGACTTGAAATACGGTATTGAAGTCTCTTTTCATTGATTAAGAGTTGTTCCTGATGTTTGATGTTTTGTGCAACCCATTATGTTCTGAAACTTAGTTTCGTTTTGCTTCTTCATTACTGATTTGCTTATACTCTTTTGTATAAGACGATATTAAGATCCATTTATTGTTTGCTTTTCTTGCAGTGGTAAACAACTTCCATGCATCTAGTGGAACATCCGAAAGTATAAGATCTCTAAAAGCAGAAGTCTCAGGAATCAAGGTGTGGATTGCATCTTCATTACATAGAGGTGAAGAACAAGGTACTAATTGTCCTAACTGGCATGTAGCATAAACTTGTCTTCGTCAACTTGCGTATAGATCAACTGTCGCTTCCCTGATTTGATTAGTACCGTGTCATAATCGCATATATACATTTTTGAGTCTTTTGACTCTGTTATCTTTCATACTCTCTCAAGCAAGTATGCTCTTTTGTTTTATAGGCATTGCTTGAAATTGATGATCAAAGTGTTGACTGCAGTCATTTTAGGAGTTCACAAAATGCTTCTCCAATCACATCCTGATTCTCTTGTCATAATCGTGCCTCGGCATCCACATCATGGCCAACAGATTGCTCAAGTATGTTTCAAAACCGCCTTCTGCTGATTTTTGATTACTGGCATGTCTTAAGTTTAACTTGTGTCAAAATACATTTCAATCTCTCCAGCTCCTTTTGTAGAAACTGCGGAAAGATGGCCAAAGTGTAGCTCTAAGATCTCAAAATGAAAAGCTTACATCAAGGAAGACAAATATATATGTTGTGGATACACTAGGTTTGGATTTCTTTACTTTTACTTTATCTTACTAGTGTTAGTTCCTCTACTTTCTTCAAGAACATGATCTGCTTCTACTTGAGAAACACATCTGAAGAAATCTGTCTTACTTGTGTTCACTCATGTTGTTCTATGCAGTGATTCTCATCCTCGGGCTAATCCGTGCATACAACAAAATCTACTTTTGTTTGTTTCTTCAGGTGAACTAAGAGAATTATACAGAGTAGCTCCAATAGCCGTCATTGGAGGTTCTTTTTTGCCAGGACTAACCGGTCATAACTTGTCTGAGGCAGCTGCCGCTGGTTGCGCTGTTATTACAGGTGCTCAGTGATAAGATAAGATAAGATGCTCGTTTATAGTATATGTAACTCACTCTTTCTCTCTCTTTGATCTCAACATTTATGTAGGTTGTCATGTTGGGCATTTCTCTCACATGGTGAAGACAATGCAGCAGTTGAATCCGTTATCGGTTACACAGGTCTCGACTAAACTAGAGCTCAAAGAAGCGATCGACTTGCTACTGAGTAACCCTGAGATCTTGGAAGCACATAAGAGAGCTTCTAAAGAAGTGTATGAATCTCTATCAAGCTGCATTATCTCTAACATCTGGAATCTCCTGTGTCTCCATATCTTTAAGAGGGTGCAGTGATATGTTAAGTGTGGCAAATTGATGACCACATGAAAAGCCTTTATTGAATCTGTTCAGTTTTTGAGCATCACATGTAGTCATTTATAGCAATTGAAGCTCTCAATGTGTGTAGTTATTTCAGAAATTTATCTTCTTCGTTTTTTTTTTTGTAATTTCAGAACTTTCAGTAAAAACCTTTCACATCATAAAGCAAATGGATTATGTAAAGAGTGTTACAACGTGTGGAAAGAAGTTGAATAAAATGAAAACATCAATAATGTATAATAGTAACAATTTCCATTATATATCGTAATGAATTTTACGATCTAAAACATTAAAGATTTTGGATTTGTATTATAGTTGTCTTATAATTGTGTCTACTTCGAGCGTTTGCGTCAAATCGTAGATGAAACTAAACTTTGGGATATTTATATTTGGATATATTTTATAAGTTTCTAACCATTGCGGGAAGAGCGCCCGTGGCCTAATGGATAAGGCGTTTGACTTCTAATCAAACGATTGTGGGTTCGAGTCCCACCGGGCGTGTGATTTTTTCAGTTTATATTTTAACCATTTTATCGGTCTTTGCGTCCTATGGTTTTTGTCTTTTTGAAGTCTCGAAATTCCAATGTAGTGTCAAACCACCACATACGACATGTTTTGAACTTTTGATCATTTTTTTATAAAAAGTTTCTACTATTTTGCGTTTAAGAATTCATTATATTAAATGCTTTACTAAATTTCTTCATTATATTTTAGATCCACAATTCTCCATCCTTTAAGTAAAAGAAAAGTTTTTCGGTGATTGAGTTTAAAATAGGGTCAATTTGTGATATAACTAAAAAAAAATTTATCTAATATTCTAACTAAAATTCCTAATTTTAGTGATTAGGAATTAGCCACATAAATACTTTTTTTTAGATTATTAGATATGGTTTTTTTTTTATAGTTATCCATGCTAATTTCTCTTTAAAATATTTGTGACTTTGTTAATAAATTTGCAATGTATAAGTGGTTAGTCTTATGGAGCTTGTTTCCCCTTTTTGTTACTATATATGTCTGGTAAAACTTCTACACACAATAAATTTGCATAGGAACAATTACATATTG